TCTCGCAGTGCCTGGAACCTCTTCCGCGATCTCACGATAGCGTACACCAGGTTTGGGTTGTCTACAGACAGTTAGATATGTAAAAGAGAGCTAGGTTTGCTCATCTTACGTGGGTATTGATGCTCAATCATAGCGTTGAGAACTTCCAACAGTGATTGCAGAAGGGTGTGGTTATTCTCGTTCGCAAATAAAAAGCTAGGGGATGACATGGACGCGAAGAGTTGGAGCAGTTTAGAACTCGAGGCGCGTCCGATGTTCTGAACGTAAGCCGCGATATTGTTGAGGATTGCGAGCAAAGCAGGGTAGATGGCGTCTAGCCTGCCTTTGCCAGTGGTGAGTAGGGTATATATAGACTAGCACAATCAGCATACGTATTGATCTTAATAGTGATACATACCGTGATGACGTAGTCGGCGTATGTACCGTGGAAGTTGGGTATGCGTATGCTAGCTGGAAGCGACTCTTGTCCTTCGAACGTCTTGTTGAGGCTCTTGCCAAACTGCGGCTCGACACTCAACGTCTGGAGCACGAAGATGCACATGCGCACGAGACCCTGCTTTGACAGATCGTTCCGCTGATCAATGGCATAGTAGAGCACCAATACGACGAAGTCGTGGGCCCTATCGGTGTCAATGATGAAGGAGCGGAAGCGCTTATTGCACTGCAGTGCCTCCCAAAAGAGCATGATCATTTCGGGTGCCCAGGTCAGTGACTTGTGGCTACCAGGTAGATAGGAGGTATTGGCTTGAAGCTAGTCTGTATCAGCGAGAGAAAACAGCATATTGGATATGTTGCATACCGGCTGATTCAGTATTCTCGTCATGCCATCAACCAAGAACTGGAAATCTTGGGGACGGTGCAGACGACCGAGGAAATGGCGGAAGAAGTTCTTTGGCGCTGGGCCGTTGCCAGACTCGGGTATAGGGTACAGAACGAGAACGAGGAGTAACTGTAAACAATAGGTAACCAGGACCTGTCGCTGGTCCTTGAAGACGACGTGGTCGTATGGCACGCGCCATGTTGCGGGGTTGTATTTGAGGGTCTGCGAGAATCAGTAGTGAATAACAGAGGCTATGGAGGCACTCACGGTATTGAGCAGCGAGCAAAGCACGGACAGAACGACCTGCTTGTCGGGACACGTCGCAATGTAGGTGATGGCCTTTACGCCCTTGACTGGTAGCACACCGGCCGACATGTACATGGACTTGCTAGCCAGGGTAAGCAGCAAACGCAGGATTTCGGTCCTGTTGCTCTCGAACTCCTTGGTCGAAGCGACAGGTGTGTTGCAGCCAACGCCGCTCTGCCATATCGCATACGAGACCTTGTTCTTGCCAGCCGCGACTTTGGGGAGGGTGAAGTCGGAGAAGAAGAGCAGGTCAATCAGCGTGTCGATGATCTCCTCGGCCAGTGGCTTGGCTTTTTCGAACTCAGGCTCCTTCTCGGTGGGCGTCTGCTCTGGGTCGGCCTCGTCGAAGATGATCTCGCTTCGCACCAGCTGGCCCCGCCGACTGCGCTTCCGCCGCGCGGCCCAGAAGAATTGGTCCTCCCATGTCTCGAGGTGGTCGGCTTCATACAAGAAGGGCAGCAGTCGCGTGAGGACCCGTATGCAGTTGAGGGCGTCGCGCTCCGGGGCCAGCTCAGGGTCGGGGAAGGAGGGGTGGTTGCGCAGGACTATGAGGCGCGAGGTGACGGCGAGTATGAGGGTCTCGAGATTGGCGAGGTTGTTATCGCGGGTGCGGCGAATATCCGCGGGCGAGAAGAGCGAGAAGACATCTTCCGTCGACTCGGGCAGCTCCCAGAACTGGCGCCGTCGTCAGTACAGCAACAGCACAGAGAGCAGAGGGCAGGGCAGAGCATACGCCAGTCCAATAGGCGTCGTCGGCGGGGATCTGCTTGGGCTCAGACAGGCGGAAGACGCCCTGCTTGAAGGACAGTTTCGAGTCGGAAGCACCCATTGGCAAGCATGTCACGGCGTCATGTGCGCATTCTGTGTGCGGTAGATTGACACAGTAGATGTGGTGAGAGCAGCCTCGCCGAGAGTGACGTCGGCAGCGCCCCCGAACAAACGCCGGCTATTCACATGCTTTCGCGTCTGGGCGCGTTACCAGTTCAGACTCACCACCCAGTCGACTTTATCTTCGTCGTCTTCTCAGATCGGCACAGTCATCGTCTGCTCCACGCCCAGTCACCGTTCAGAGGTTACATTTGGGTCCAGACGCGAATGCAGGTGCCACACGTCATTACATAATCACCGCGGCGCCTTTCTTTCCCTGTGCCTGCTGCCTCCGCCACCGACACTTCACCTGCGACCGCTGCACATTCATACCACCCGTCGATATCTTGTCGCTCCCACCACCCGCATATTCTCGCACCCGTATACTACAGAGATATATAAGGAGGATTCGTCTTTCAGCAGCAGGCGGCCGCCACGATGCCACCCAAGCGCAAGCTCGCGCAGACGGCAGCAGACGCAGAGGCCGAGGATGGCTGGGACGATAACGATGAGGGCCCCATGAGTGACCAGGAGACGTTCGACCAGCTCAAAGAGGAGTTCGACGTCAAGGCCATGACAAAGCGAGCGCGCGCTGGTAGGGTCAGAGACGCAGCGGCCGATCTCTTCAGGAAGTCAGACCAATGGAGTGCGGAACTGAAGCCTGACCACCACCATCGCCCGCTCTGGGTCAACGACGCGGGCGGCATCATCCTCGAGTCCTTCCATCCCCTCTTCGATGAGGCCCAGGACTTTTTGATCAACATCGCCGAGCCGCAATCGCGTGTCTCCAAGATGCATGAGTACCAGCTTACCACCCACAGCCTCTTCGCCGCCGTCAGTGTTGGACATTCCAAGCAGGAGATTATAGACAAACTCGACCGCTATTCCAAGACAGCTCTCTCCCCCGCCATCATGCAATTCGTCGAAAAATCCACCTCCGCCTTCGGCAAGGCCAAAATCGTGCTGAAGAAGACATTGTCGTACATTGAGAGCGAGGACCCTACTATACTACAGAAGCTTCTACGCGATCCTGTAGTTGCCGAGTGTCGGGCAGATTCAACAGACGGCCTCATCAAGGAGGCCGCCCCCAAGATTGGTCAGATGGCTATCCCGGGTACAAAGCTCGCTGCCGGTGCGAACAACATGGCACAGCAGCAACAGCCCGAGGCTGTACAGAATCCGCCACCAAGCGATATGATTGCCACACTCCGAGAAGACGATGACGATGACGAAGTAGCCCAAGTGCACTCTTTCCAGATCAGGAGCGAAGAGCGCGAAAAGGTCGTCAAGCGCTGTCGGAGCATCGGTCTGCCGCTCACGGAGGAATACGACTTCAATAACGACGATACCAACCCGAACCTCGAAATCGATCTCAAACCCCACGCGCAGATAAGATACTACCAGGAAAAGGCTTTGAGTAAGATGTTCTCCAACTCTCGAGCGCGATCGGGCATCATCGTGTTACCTTGTGGTGCAGGTAAGACTTTGGTTGGCATCACAGCTGCCTGTGGTGTCAAGAAATCCGTCATCGTCCTGTGCACGAGCGCCATGTCTGTTGTGCAATGGCGAGCCGAATTCATCAAATGGTCCAACATCAACCCAGAGGACGTTGCTGTCTTCACTGCCGATAACAAGACCAGGTTTCCCCGCCAGGCCGGTATCATTATCAGCACTTATTCTATGATCAGCAACGCTAGGAAGCGTTCGCATGATGCTGAAAAGGTCATGCAGTTCATCCGTGAGAGAGAATGGGGTCTGCTGATTGCCGACGAGGTGCACGTTGTACCCGCCAACATCTTCAAGAAGGTCACCTACGAGATCGCATCACACGCGAAACTTGGTCTTACTGCTACACTGCTGCGAGAAGATGACAAGATCGATGACCTTAACTTTTTGATTGGACCCAAATTGTACGAAGCTAACTGGCAAGAGCTTTCGGAACAAGGTCATATCGCCAAGGTTCAGTGCGCTGAAGTCTGGTGCCAGATGACACCCGAGTTTTACACCGAGTGGCTCAAGCCATCGTCCCTGCAAAAACGTGCACTGCTTTCCATCATGAACCCCAAGAAGTTCCAAGCCTGCCAGTTCTTGATCAATTACCATGAGTCACGAGGCGACAAGATCATTGTTTTCTCTGATAATGTTTACGCATTAGAGAAGTACTCACGAAAACTGGGCAAGGCATACATCTACGGTGCAACACCTCAACAAGAACGTCTCCGTATTTTGGAGAACTTTCAACACAATGAGCTTGTCAATACCATTTTCCTGTCCAAGATTGGTGACACTAGTCTCGATCTACCTGAGGCGACATGTCTCATTCAGATCTCTTCCCACTACGGTTCCCGTCGTCAAGAAGCGCAGCGCTTGGGCAGAATTCTGAGGGCGAAGCGCAGGAACGATGAAGGTTTTAACGCATTCTTCTATTCCCTTGTCTCGAAAGACACCGACGAGATGTACTATTCGTCGAAGCGACAAGCCTTCCTTGTCGACCAAGGTTATGCCTTCAAAGTCATCACTCGTCTCGAAGGACTAGAGAACTTCTCACAACTGGCGTTTGCAACACCGCAAGAGCGACGAGAGCTACTGATGGACGTCCTCCTCGCCCGCGAAGAAGACGCAAAGGAAGAGAGGATTGAGGGTGATGCTTTCGGCACTAAGTACGCCTCCAACAAGGGCAACAAGAAGAAGAATGGTGTGAGGCGAGCAGCAGGTACGCTATCCGAGTTGTCCGGTGGCCAGACCATGGCCTACATGGAGGTCAACAAGAGCAGAAACAAGGAGCTCAAGGGGACCAAGGGTGTCCAGAATGCCTTTATGCGAAAGCTGGCTAGGTCTGGAGCCAAGAAATAATGTGTACGATACCATGGTGCGTGTATATCACGTTTTGCATTGCTATGGCGTTGTCATTGCGGGGTACTATTTTCGGAGTTGTCCAACCGCGTGGTGCTTGTGGTTGGAAAATTGAACAGTCGGAGCACTATCCATTGAGAGTATACATGGAGCTTTACATTGTGCCGCTCTGAAGTGGTACGGATGAGATAACACCTGTCTCAGGCGAGCAATTCACATACTCAAACATAGCGTCACCCTCATTGATGACACATACCTCGTGCCATGTACGGAACTTCCTCTCGTCTCCAAAAGCCTTGTAATGTGCAAGCGCACCACCATAGATCTTCAGATGCGACGCGTGGCTTTTGGCCCAATGCTCTAGATCTTCGAGGTTGGCGAAGAAACCCGCGCCGCACGATTCCTTTCGCTCTTCCTTATTACCGCAGGGCGAAGTTACATCCCCATTACGGAGATATTGGATACTAAGAGCTCCAGTCTCCGTTGAATTCTCATGTAGATATTTGAGACCTTGCTGCAATGTCGGCTCGAGCTTCTGTTCGTACGAGCCTGCTTCTTCTTTACCGCAGTTTTCCCAATACTGACCGGAGCGTATGTGGACCATGTTCTCGTGATTGGTGCCAGTCAAGTGTTGGCCTATACCGCTTGGAGTTGGATTTGGACGCTGCATATCAGCCGCTCGAGGGAAGAGATCCTGTGCGGAATCTGGAATGCGATCTCGGGCTGCTCCCCAGTACGTGCTTAGGTTGTGTTCTTCGGTGCTGGCTCCAGGTAGTCTTGCTAGACCGGGAAGATAGTCAAGACCAGAATAGTTGGTTTCGAGGCGCGATACTGATGTCTTGAAGCCTTCATGCCACAGCCCGATCATTGGCCGACCAGCGGTGGCTATATACTGATGTATGCTTCTCAGGTCTAATGACTTCATGGCACGATTGCGCCTGGCTTCATCGCTCCAATAGCACACCCACACAATCCCTTCGGTGCGACTGTAATTGTCTAGCGTAGTGAATGCTTCTACTGCTTCTGGGGCGTCATTTTGACCGAGCCATTGCTGAACAGCACAGACGCCTTCTTCTTTTGCCTGAGCAGCTGCGGCGCTGTCCTCATGCTGCTCGATACCAACGTATGATGCGAAGACTTGTTCCACATCGGTGGGCAGGCTAAGTTTCCATCGAGGGATGGGAACGCGATGATTTCGAGGTTTGCGCAAGGGATACAGGCGAGCGGGGCAAGACATTTGGCTTGTTTCAAAATGCCGACTGATATGACACAGGGTATCTTGAAGGAGCCAGGGCTGGAATCTTCTTTTCTAAAGACGAATTGTGGCGCGACCCCGCATCCTCAGCCTTAGCTTTCGAAAAGTAGTCTTTACGCACTCTAGTCCGTGTTATCAACGTCCCTTGGCCACCTAGCTCCCGCGACGCAGATACCTGAGGGCAGCATCCTCAAGATAGTAGCCGCCTACAGTACCTGCGTGTAGTATCAGAACCTCTGCACATAGGACAAAGAACGTTTGCGCTTTGTAATGCTCGACTGTTAGCATGATAGAGCGAGACAGCCAAGCTTGAGCGTTGAGCGAATCGTGGCGTCGATGCGGTGGCGCGCCTCCCCGCACTTTCGGACTTTCAAGGCTTGGCACTTACGGACATTCGGACTTCTCAATCCCAACGTTCTTTCCTGATCTTCCCCAGCGACTCGAAACGCCTTAAACCCCATAACGCGTCAGGCACCACGCCAGGCGCACGTCCAAAGACCCAGATCAATGCCAGTTTAGGGACGACTTAAGTAGGGCTCACGCGTGTTGTTCTCGAAATGTTTGTGAGACTCCTCTGCGACATGTCGCAGCGTCACGAACGGCCGAGTTATGCCTAACCCGACCTGTCGGATGCGTAACGTGTTTGCTGATCGTGAAAAACGTCCGGCTGGGCAGTGCACGATATGGTGATGGATATATATCATGGTGGTTAGCGATTTGTATTTTGTTCTGTAGACTGGTTCTCGACTTCTCCTTCACCTCTCTCTACTTGCACTTTTTTTCGCTTCGTCGCCTGCTGGTATTGGCAAACCGCTGGACGGCATTTTCTCTTCTTTTCGCTACCTTTCGCATTTGATCCTCAAGAGACGCGGGCCGTCCCTTCCGCATTAACTCCATCTGAACATCAAAGCCGGTCATCATGGGTTGGGGTGTATTGGAAAGCAGGCGGTCAGCATTTCCTCGGGGTACCTCTAGATTAGGGGTCAAGGATACGAGCGACGACAAGGTACCCGAACTCGATACCTCCAAGAGGAACGGAGGCACTGTACTCTCCCCGCAACCGTCCGATGACCCAAATGACCCTCTGAACTGGAGTTTGAAGTGGAAATGCATCCATCTGCTTATCCTCGCTTTCGGTTCTGCAGTCACGAACGCGTAAGTCTCTTCCATGCAGATTGCAATCGCCAATGCTTATGCTCATCCACCATAGAACCACGACTATGCTTACCCCAGGCTTGGAACCTCTTACCGAGCAGATTAAAAGCAATGAGGGCGATGTGTCGACATGGCTTCTTACAGCACCAACATTCTGGACTTCAGCCGCAGCCTTCGTCACGGTTGCCGGGACGGATGTTTGGGGGCGAAGACCGTTCTACATCTGGAGCGTCATACTGCTTGCGCTGGCCAACTTTGCGGCTTACCTTTCTTCAACATTCCCCATGCTAGCCGTCGCTCGGACGGTTGGTGGCCTCCTATCTGCACCTTTGTTCACCCTCCTTACCGCAACGATCAGCGACATATTCTTTGTTCACCAACGAGGTCGATCTATCGCGGTGTGGAATCTCATGCTGAACTCTGGAGCTCAAGTTGGGTGAGTTATAACAGTAACTCGTGATCTCTCTAGCTGCTGACAAAAGCTTCTTTTAGTCAAATCATTGCTGGCTTCGTCACTGACGCATTTGGAGTTTCCGCCAATTTCCTCATCACCGCCCTCATCTACTCAGCGCTGATCCCTGTATTCTACCTAACGATATTCGAGTCGGCCTATTTCAACCGTAAGACGGACGACGTCACAACAATTCACGTGCCCGCCGATAAGCTCAGCGCAGAATGGGATGAGGAAGATCTCAAGTCCTCCGTTCGACCTGCAAGACAGACATACAACGAGAAGCTAGCTCTGTCTCGCGGCCGACTTTCAGAGAAGTCGTTCTTCAAGGGTATCATTAAACCTCTTGGCCTCGTCAGTTCGCCCATCGTCTTCTACAGCTGCTTTCTCAACACCACAGTATTCCTGTTCCTGGCTGGCATGTCCACCTTCATGTCAATTCTGTTGTCATCTCCTCCATACGATTTGACCCCCAGTCAGATCGGTCTGACCAACCTGCCTCTTTTCGTGGTCGGTCTACTGTCTGGGCCGTTTTTCGGCTGGATGTCTGACGCTTCGGTTGGTCTGATGGCACGCCACAACGGTACCACCAAAGGCATGGTCGAGCCAGAGTTCCGTCTCGTACTCCTCTTGCTTTCGACCCCAATCACCATGGTCGGCTTGATTGGTCTGGGTGCTTCTTTCCAGAACAGTCTGCCCCTGGTCTGGATCCTCGTCTGGATGACAGTCACCAACGTTGGCAGTGTTGCCGGCGTGCAGATTGCCATCGCATACGTCATCGACTGTCACCCCGAGCATTCTGCTCAAGCTTTCTCTTCTATCAACATGATCTCTGCCGGTGCTGTCACTGTCGGTATCACTCCGATGATTGGCTGGCTTGACACTGCTGGACCTATGGCAGTCTTCGGAACTCTAGCTTCGGCCGCTGCTATTGTTACGGGAGCTGCACTTCCACTCTATGTCTTCGGCAAGAAGATTCGCGCTTGGTATGAGAGTGCACCATGGGCCCAGAAGCTTCTTGACTGAGCGCGGAGCCAATAAAGAAACGGAACGTTTCAGACAAACCGTAGGAGGCGAAAGGTAGACAGCAGTCATTACCGAAGTTTACACCACCATTGCAAGGAGACACAATCCAGTCACTCACTCGTATTCGGCAATATAAATCTCCAAGCATACCACCATTCATTTCACCCCATGTATTACTTAGAAGCATGTAAACCAGCGCTAGACACGCCATGAAGACACATGACATCAATGCAATTTCTCATTTTCGTTCATCCTTGAACACTAGGGTTATGCAGTGATACGCTCATCGTCGGATACGGCCACTCCTAATTTGCAGCATTCCGCACCTTCGCATCTTCAACTGCTTTATCCCAGCTTGTCCGCCATATGAATACACCTTCGATGGCAGCGACTATGCCAAGAGCAATCGCAGGTCCCTGTGAGACGTTAGTAGATTTTGATTTAGGTTTCAGCGGTGAAACTTACACTCCAAAGCCCGTACAGACCCCAATGTGGAGATCCAAACCCGGTGCCAAAGCTGATCGGGATACCAACGACATAGTAGGCGAATAATCCAACATAGCCACCAATCTCTTGCCTTCCCAAACCACGCAGGATACCGTTACAGTTGGCGGCTAGCGCATCGAAGACCTGGAAAGTCGCGCACAGTGGCAAGAGTTTCGCGACCATATCTATGACTTCCTCGTCTGGTGTAAAGAGACGAGGAATAGCCTCACGAAGAAGCGAAAGTAGTAGTAGGTTGAAGATGCCGACAAGGACCGAGGCAAACACGGCCACCTTGGCTGCTGTCTTCGCTGGAACTGCCAGAGTAGCGCCGATGAGGTTAGCGATGCGCGTGGACGCTGCCACGCTCATGGGAAACGGTATTTGAAAGGTGATACCGGTAATCGAGCCAAGCACAGATTGCGCCGCAAGTTCAGTTGGGCCAAGCCACGATGAGCTCAACGTCAAGATCTCGAAAGCCAAAAACTCGGCAAGCACCATGATCAACCCGGGAAGCGCAAGCTTCACCATTGGCATCCAGTTCCTGAGCGCTCGTCGATCGAAACCACCCCAGCATTGGTATCCGTCGATGAACCTGACGTAGAGAAACAAAAGCAGAGGAAGGACGTTCTCTGTGATGGAAACAGCAATGGGTGCGCCAATGAATCCCCAGCCAAGATGCCACACCATGAACCAGTTGAGGAAAGCGTTTAGTGGCGCGCAAATGAGGAGAATGTACATGGTCGCGCTGAAGATACCTTGCGCCTGTACATAGCGTTTTCCGCTTTCGAACGCCGCATAGCCGGGCGCTCCGAATATGAGAACCTTCAAGTACAGTCCGGCTAAGCGTGCCGTCTCCTTCTCCGGAACGATGAGGGAGAGGATCTGTGTACCGAAAGCCCATATGAGCGATATCGGGATGGTGATCAGAAGGAGAAAGTACAACATGCGTTGCAATTGGAGACCAACGAGATGGGGACGCCCCGAGCCATATGCTTGTGCACAGAGCGTATCGAGCGAAGTTGCTAGACCCTGATATACTGCATAGCCCGTTATCGAAGCAGTCATACTCGCCAGACTCACAGCTCCTAGTTCGGTTTTGCCAATGTGTCCGACGGTGAAGATACTCGCTACCGGCAAGCTATACTGTAGTAGGAATGTCAAGATGAGCGGTGCCGAACTCTTGGTCAAGACTTTTGCTTCCCGCTGCCAGCTCGTGTTGATCTTTCCCGCTGCAACCGCCTCATTCCATTTCTTGTTGATCGTCTTCGGTGAATCCAACCCCCCGTATGGTTGGCTTGGATCACCTTCAGATGGCCCCAATAGCGCTGTTCGCTCGGAGGGTGATTCGACTGCGCTTTCCTCGTCTGGGGTGCTCTTGACTTTTCGCAGTCCTGAAATTGACATTCTAGATCGCACTCGATCAAAGGGTCCCTCGCTTCCAGCTCTTGGATGCTTGGGCGGAATCAGATGGTTGTCGCGGAGCAGACTCCGCTCT